CTTTCCTTCCTTCCTTCCTTCCTTCCAATTGGCTACCTCATTTCTAAAGAGAAGTGTTCAAAGAGCTTTGAGAAAGTTTCTGCCAGTAGAGAAACAAAAGGTACGCTTTCCTGTAAATACAGAAAGCACTTTACGAAATTCATTCCTTGCCTCAAACAAAAGTTATTACCAAGGAAGCCTTCTTTAAAACACAATGACTGGTTGCTGGCACTTGCTCGGACATATATTTCCCAACAACCTAGACTCTGGTTCTTGACACTTTTATGAAGTCTCTATATTACTTACCACCTAGAACAACTATCTGGCAGAAGGTCAAGGTAAATAAATACCTGACGGCAAAGACTGCATTAACCACAGAGAACTGCCCAGAAGGTAAAGAAATAAAAACAGGCTTCCTTGGGAAAGGAGTCAACATAATAATTGATGAACAAGTTCTAATTTAGGAGAGACTTCTTCCCCCCTCTTTAGCTATCCACAAGGATCGTCTAGCAGAGGAGGAAAAGATGAAATTGGCTATTTGAGGGAAAAGGAATCTCAAAGACTAAAGAAAACAATCATTAAGGACCAATTCCCTCCTCCTGCCCTTCTCCCCCTCCAGCATCCAGTATACTGGAGAAAGAAGGCATCGTGGGGAACAAGACCCCTCAGGTTAAGGACAACTACTGATGAACCTTCCCCCATCTCCCGCCTTCTGCATGAAACGGATAGGAAGGTGAATTGGGAGTCATCGTGGTCTCTCTCAAAGCCCCCCGACGCAAACACATACATCGCGCGCTGCCTGCCCTCTGCCTGTGCCCCGCGCCAGCTCACCGGTACCAGGCGAGGCCTTTGTCGTAGCTGCGGTCGAAGAAGTGGGGCTCCGCACCCACGGCGCGCACGTCGGGGTGCACGCGCAGGAACTCGAGCAGCGCCCGCGTGCCGCCCTTCTTCACGCCGATGATGATGGCCTGCGGCAACTGCTTGCTGCCTTCGTCCAACAGCAGCGCCAGAGTCCCGGGTGGGGCCTCGGCCACGCTGCTCCCAGCCCCGGAGCCACCGGGACCCCCGGCCAGGCCCGGGGTCTCTTCTTCCCAGGCCACCTCCTCGCCGCCGTCGCGCCGCACAGGCCGCCGGCGCCTCCGCCACTGCTTCAGTTGCAGGAAGCGCTTTCTCTGCGCCGCCGCGGGCCGCGCCGCCAGCTCCCTCGGGCCTCCGGCCAGGACGCCGCGACCCGGGGCCCCCGTCTCCTCGCCACCGCCCGACAGCCCCACGACGGGGCCCGACAGGGTCTGACAGCGCTCGGCCAGGCAGTAGAAGACGTAAAGGGACGTGAGCAAGGAGCAGAGCATCAGCAAGAATTTCCGGAAGATGCTGCGGGACAGCGGCTCTGCCGAGGTGGGGTGGGCGCCGGCCGGGCCCGGAGGGGCCATCCTAGCCGGAGGCGACGTCGGGCAGCACGCGGGCCATGCTAGGCCGAGACTCCGCCAAGTGCCATGACATCCTCCAGGAGGGCCTGCGCGCTGGACGGAGGCCACATCGCCCGTGCGTCCCTGCGGCCGTGCAAGCTGCCCCAGGTGGCAGCAGCCGGGGCTCCTTAGGGAGACCGAGCCTCCGGAGTCCCTCGCGGGATCCCTTCCTCTGGTCTAGGGGGCGGGAAAGGGGACGTGGTGCCGTGCTTAAGAAACCATCCTCTTAGACTCGGCAAGTCTTGAGCCTCGGAGAAGCGCTCGGCGCCCCAGTACTCTAGGAGTCGCGGGAATGGGGGTCCTGGAGGAGGTGGCGGAGGCAAGCGTCTCAGCCTCGGCCCCCAGCGGTCTCCGCTCAGCGACCTTGCATCCCTCGTTCAGTCCTGACGAGGGGACGCTCCACTCCGGGGCCGCTGAACTCCGTGCGCTCCAGACAGCGGCAAGCGACAGTGCCTCCCAGCCCCGAATTCCTCGGTCCCCTGGACCGTCTCGGCGCGCCTTCTCGGCCCTGGTGCAAGGTACCCCCGAGTCCTTCTGCCCGAGCAGGAACAAGAAGGCCCGCGCCGAGCAGCCCGCCCCTCCTGGTGCGCACCCGGCTGCTCCAAACTGCTCTCACGCCCCACCTGGGAGCGGCATAGCGGAGTCTGGCTGTGCGGGACCTGTCAGCGGCCGCGGCCACTGTGCTAGCAGGCGCTCTCTCGCTGTCTCCCGGGCCGTAGCCGCCGCCACACGTGGGGCGCCCAGGGCAGCAAACTTGGCGGTGACGTCAACGGCCCGGGCCGGACCAGCCCCCGGACGAGCGCGGCCCGCGGGAGGGGTGGGATGGAGAAAAGGTGGCGCAGACCTCGCCGCGGCGGCCCAATGACATTGAAGAAGGCGGGGGAGACTGGGGCGACGCCCCTTCCCCATTCCGCCCTTTCCTCCCGCCCCCACCCCCGCCCGCAGCATAGCTCCTTTGGAACAGAGCTGGGGATTGCGGCGGCCCCACGGTTGTCTGACTGACAGCTAGAGCCGGCCGGATCCCCGGGGGCCTGACTTCCACCCAGCCGGCCACTCGCTGGATTAGGGGTTCTCAACCCCTCCGACTCAGCTCAGCCCTTCGCAACCCTGACCTCCTCTAAGTTCCCTGCACTCTGCTTCCCTTCCGCCTCTGTCGCTACATCCTTCCCCGGTCCCGCCCCTGCCACCTACCCGAACCTTTGGAAGTATTTTTGGCAGCAGTTCCCAGTACCGCGCTTCACGCCACACACCCATCTGTCTAGGGCGAACGGAATTCCTCCGCAACAGCTTTGACTTGCACATACCTACCCAACTGTCCGCGGCGGGCCCTTGAGAGGAGCTCAGTCTCCTCTCAGCAGTGTTATTTTTGTTTTTATTTTTCCTTTTGATTCTTCCCTTGTATTATTGATGATGATCAAGAGTTTCCCAAGACCTAGAAAGGAGTAACGTCTTAGAAAATAAGCCAATAAATAAATCAAGTGGAGAAATTAAGATTAAAAATAAATAAATAAATATCAACTCCGATTCCAAATCCATATGCCCAGTTTTTGATGAAGGATATTTTTTTTTAATGTTGTTTGTACGTGTGTGTGCGCGCGCGTCTGTGTGTATGTGTGTGTGTCGTTAAAGAGTTAAAGGTCCCTCCATAAAGGACTGTTTCCTCTCTGTTGCCTCGCCTGACCCCATATCTTCTTGTGCTCCTGGGGCAGCAGGTCAGGAAGCGATACAAATCGTCTTGATGTTTAATGGAGGGAGGTGGCCCGTGGAACTTACGTGAGGTGGTTTTTTATTCCAATCCGACTTGTTCCTGGTTTCTTGGCTTCCTTATCTCGGCAAGACGCCCTGCAATGTGGGCGGTAGCCTGGCGGTCGCACACCAACCGCTGCAAGCGGTGGAGGCAGCTTTCTGGGCCCACTGCTGGGACTTTACAACCTTCCTCTCTCAGCCTGCAGGCACTCTATTTGAACATGGGAGTGGAAGTCAGGGAATTCCTTTTTAACCTTCCAAAGGGGTCGGCTTGTGTGGAACTGGTATATGTGTGCCCGCTGGATGAATACCCAATGCTGGACATATTTTTATGTTTATGAAGCACCAAACGCAACCTATTCAATAAGCCAGCAAAGAATTTATTAGGTTCTGACGCCATAAAGTGATGGGCTTTTTACAAGGATGAACAGCCAGTCCAAGCTTTAATGCCTTCTTGTGTCCTAAAATTGGATATCGACAAACCAATTGAGATTTAATACTAACTTGAGCTTTAGTATATTTTAAAGTTTTTCTCTAGGTATTTCAGTCTGTGTTGCAGAAGGAAAACAAAGAAATGAACGAACAAACAAACAAAAAACAAAGACCATTTTAAAGTTGTTCTGAAAGCATATACTGTCCCGTAAATGCTTACAAATATTCCTCGGTATTCTCACCCTGAAAACGATGGTCTTCAAGTTCCCGCCTTGCTACCACATTGTAGGATATTGTACGTTCATGCTTTCACATTTTAAGCATAGATATTCCCTTTATGTGGGTATTAAAAACACATTATATAGGAGCATGGTTCTCAGAATCACTCCCGCAATATCTAGACTTCTGTACTTTATAAATAAAATATAAGCCACAAATACAAGCCTCACAGGTAATTTAAATTTTCTAGTAGCCACCTTAAAGAAAAGTAAAAAAAACAGGTGAAATTAATTTTAATAATATATCTAATATACTTAAAAATGTGATTTTTACATGTAATCAATATAAAAATTATTGAAGTCATTTATGTCCTTTCTTTTCATACCAAGTCTTTGAAATCTAGTGTGCATTTTACACTTCCAGCACTTCTTTATTGGGATTAGGCATATTTTAGGTGCTCAATATCCACATGTGGCTAGTGGCTACCATATTGGACAGCACAGATGGGGTTGTTGTTTTGGTGAGAGGGGTGTATCTGTCAGAATCTCAACAGAAAACAGGCAGTATATTCAAATTAGGATAATTCTTTTTTAATTTATTGGGGTGACATTAGTTAATAAAATTATATAGGTTTTAAGTGTACGATTCTATAATATGTCATCTGTATGTTACATTATGTAGATAATTCTTGGCAGTTTATTTACAAGAGACTTGTTTACGAAGGAGTAGGAAAGGCAAAGGCCAGAGGCAAATGCAGTAACTCTAGGCTAGTAGCATTGGAGCTGTTAACCACTCACAAGCCTAAAGGAATGAGGGAAAGAAGAGGTTATCAAAACCTAGAAGGAAAAAGTCACCTAGAGCAGGAGTCCCCAACCTTTTCTGCACCAGGAATGGGTGCTCCTATGAGAATCTAATGCCTGATGATCTGAGGTGGAGCTGAGGCGGTGACAGTGACTCTAGCGCTGGGGAGTGGCTGCAAATACGGATGAAGCTTTGCTTGCCGCTGCTCACCTCCAGGTGTGTGGCCTGGTTTCTAACAAACTGTGGACTGCTAACGGTCCACCGCAGAGGGATTGGGGACCCTTGATCTAGAGCGAGGCTCTTTTGAGAAGCAGTGAGCTTTATTGGTAGGACACAGCCTACCCAAGGCAACAAACATCTCAGGGAAGGGTTAGAGAAAAAAAGATTCTTAACCAAAAAAAAAAAGAGAGGGGAGATAGGTATGTGGCATTATGTCTAATCATAAAAAAATTATAAAAATTGATTAAAGTCTCATGATAACATTAGTTACAGTCATACTCCACAATCCTTTTGAAAGTACTTTCTTTCATTGATTTAAAGACATTTATTATAATGGAAACCAGTTGTAGCTAATGGCAATTTTAAGGGAGAAAAATCGCTACCAAAATACCAACAAGCACTATGGACTTTTTTACAGTTTTTTCTTGTTTCTATCTTTCTCTTTGTCATTTCATGTTAAAGCTTATAGCCAGTCCTTAAAGGTGATAAGATTCTGCCAGGAAAAGTTCTTGTTATCACAGATAGGTGAGGGTGATGTTCAGTGCTTTCCAGCTTTCTCTTTCTTCTCTGCACCTTTCTCTTCCCTTAGTGGGTGCCCACTTCTGTTCCACCGTCCTCATTCAATGTTCTCCAAGGCTCTAAGGCCCTTCTCAGCCCTGGATCTTATGAACCTATCCACTATACTGTACCCATAGAGGGTTTACATTTTAACGGAATATTTTTAAATGACTTTCTCTTATAATCAATAATTTGTGTTTATTTAAAATGCTTGATATACAATGAAGTATAAAGAATACATAAAATAAACAAAGCACACTCAAAATTTCATTGTCCAGAGATGACCATGATTAATATATTGGTTAGTTCCCTGTAAAGTTATATATCCATAAATATGTATACAGTTGACCCTTGAATAGTGAGGAGGTTGGGGCACCTCAGATACCCAAATTGCAGATGCTCAAGTCCCTTGAATAAAATGGCCTAAAACAATGCATACAGTTGGCCTTCCTCATCCATGGACTCCCAAATGGCAATTGAAAATGGTACAGGTATCAATTAAAAAATATCATGTATAGGTGGACCCGTGCAGTTCAAATTTGTGATGTTCAAGGGTCAAGTGTATAGATATAAATAGATATATCATAAATTATAATATATTTTATC